GGGGGGGGAATGTCTGTTTATTCGTTTTTTTTATAAAATTTGACTAGCATCTGATTTCCCCACGATACCACGCAAATTACTCTTTCTTTGTCAATCTGGCGGGGACAATTGCTGGTCAATTAGTTAGACTACCCACACCATTACGTTACGTTATGTGGTCGCTTTTAAGCACAAGGGGGCTATCCCGAAAAATGCTGTTTTGAGAAAATCAAAGAGAAAGTTTTTGCCCCTTGTTCAACTTCTTTAAAAGACAAGGAGAGTTTTCTCTATAACCAAACAAATAAACACAACAGTGACACGAAACTTCTCCTTTAGGTAGGGCAATGCCCACTATAGGTGTAGGTCAAGATTTTCTGAAACCTCCTAAAATCTGGGTTAGCCTGCTTGTCCTTAAAAGCGACAATATAGCTTTGTAGTACGTGACATGTACTTTATGATGATGATTTTCCACAGAATACATTCCCAGGGGTTTATTGGAAGGCGAGGAGGACTACGAGAACACCACAGATGGTGATTACCTGTATTACGATTACTAAGCTGAATCACTTGGACTTTTTATATATCACTATTACAACTTTACTACTCTACACAAAATATTGTATTAAAAACCCAGATGAATTGTTTCGTTGATAATACAATAACGTTTCTCTTTTATACAATGAGTGCCGCTAATATCTTGTTTTATACCTGGTCTCATCCAATGTGTCGTTTGCTGTACCATTAAATTGGTTTTTATTATGTTTGGCATAATATAAATGATTTACCATGTATTTCATAACCAGTTACTTGTAATCATGGTACTAACTCATAACTACTGATGAACCAAAGATACATTTTTGTGAGCTTGCATGTCCATCATTCTGTATTCTTTTCATTTTTTTTTTCATTCATCTGTACAAATAAATTGAAGTAATCTTGTTCCTTAACAACGGGGTCGCTTCTTATTTTTTACATTTCTTACCTTACTTTTAGTTTCACAATTTTGTCTTTATCTATTTGTCCATACTGATGTTTAGTTTTAGAACTTATCATCTATCTCAATTTGAACAACATGCTAATCTTCACGATTTTGCAAGGAATTCATGTATGGCTCTGGACACTTTTAGGGTGAGACATTCATGGGATTTATAGAGAGAAGAACCGAACTCCCTGTTGTTTTTAAAATGTTGTTCTCCACATTATTTACTTTCGTACTCTTGTCCCATGCAACACAAAGCTTTTATTTTGACTCACTCCAGGTATAGGACTACGCCAAAGAGTAACTAAGACAATTTCTGTTGTTCTGCCACTTAAATAGCGGAAGCTGGAAACTGATGGTTGTTGTTGTTGTTGTTGTTGTTGTTGTTGTTGTTTATTGTGGTGGTGGTGGTGGTGGTGGTGGTAGTCGTGGTAGTCGTGGTAGTCGTGGTAGTGGTAGTGAGAATGATGATGATGATGATGATGGTGATGATGATGATGATGATGATGATGATGATGATGATGATGATGATGGTGATGATGATGATGGTTGTGGTGGTATTTGTGGAAGTGGTGATGGTGGTACTTGTGGTGTAGGCATTGACGATTGGTGGTAACTGTGATAGGGGTTGGTTTTAATCCGGAGTGGAGGGGATCATGTCATTGAACATTTTATACACATGATATATACTCAATGAAGAAAAGAAAACCGAAACGTTCCCTCACTAGGTCTTTTATTCGAAAGGGTGCACATGTAGTACGTATGACTGACTCC